TCTTTATGCACCAAGAGCTTGTAACACTCCAAAGAGAAAGGAATATGACCCCTTTAAGGAGAAAATTAATGGGATTTTACTTCCGGAATCCTAGTGTCTTCCTCTATTATATGTTGAAGTGTAAGTAAGAAATGAAAGGACATAAAATAGCATTTTCTACCTTTTTTCAGGAGGCAGCATCAATCATCTCTCAGCGTTCCATCAATCCCAGAGAGCTGTTCATGCAGAAGGAGAGAAGCTTGGCCAACAGTGCAACACCTTCTTCAGTCAGCCGACCAGGTAAAGAAAACTCCTGTCCAACAATTCATCAAAAGAACTTCTGACAAAACCTCATATATAAAACATGCACAGTCCCAAGCCTTTTATCCCAAAATTCAGAAATTCATGTCTTTTCCCCCAGGTCAGTTGAGAAGCCCATTTTTATCCCAGCAAGCAGTCAGTGCAGAAAACCCTCCCAATGAAAGCAGGTCTCAGCCCCTGTCTCCAGTTCACCCTGCGGCAGCTGCCTCAGTTTCACATATACCAGCTCCAGTCTCTCCTGTGCACGAAACTCCGGCTTTCCCAGTAAAATATGAAGGTGATTAAAAGCAGCGATCCTTTTTATTTCTGTGGTTTGACATTATGTAACAGTTAAGTAATGAGTTGCTTTATTGCTGTCTTTCAGACCCCTTCTCTGATGATCCATTTGTATCTGAACAAGCTGAAGATTCTGAAGATGAATGGGATGGTATGTGTTCTCTCTGTAAAGCTTATTAACGTCAGTCAGTGTTATAATTATGCCTGAAATCTTACTTACTGTGTATCCTGCAGCAGATTCAGGTGAGGAGGGATCGAGCCCTAATGCTGGGAAACAGCAAAGTTATGATGTAAACAACATCTACACGAACATCCCCTCACATGAAAGTCTCTATGAGAACGTTAACCAGGTTGGTTCCTTGTCTTGTCATCCAAAACCTTGCTTCCATGACGTATTAGGACATATTTTTCTGTAGTAATAATAATACTTCAGCTGGGTATAAAATATTATGTACAATAGATTTCAGTGTCACACGAATGGCATTATTTATCATATAATTTGAAGGATTTCCAAACCCATGCTGGTGAGGAAGAGGAGACAGGCGAAAACCAGAACATCTGCGCAAGAGCACTTTATGACTACCAAGCTTGTGAGTGGTGTAGTTCTACTGTATTATCTAAATATTATCTAAGTAATTTATTTTAATTATAAATTAATCATATATAAATATTTTAATTTATTTTATATATACAAATATTCTATATATATATATATATATATATAAAAAATTCAGTAAAGCTAGGCCTGATTA